AAGGAAAATGGGGATATATTTTTACAAAAGCCGATGGGGGTGTGGGTCAACCTTTTTTTCAAAGACTTGTTAATATTAATAAAATGGGGAAGGACAAAGAAAGTTCCAAATATTTGCATAATTTTTATGAACAATATAGGATGTAACGCATATATCGAACCAAGATATAGCTGACATACAAAAGAAACTGTGTCAACGGTAATTTGCTTGCATGTTTTCACATAGCCATGACAAAAAAGTTAGATCCTGATTGATTGATTGTTGGTTTCTTAACGTCCAGTGGCAAATATTTCATGCATGTTCAGGACGAGAACAAATTTTCATTAATTACAATTAGTTAAGTCCTGAAATAGGGGTCATCCATGATGAAGGTACGCAAATTTGGACTGCCAATGGAAAATGAGAGTATATTGGAAAAGGACATAAGGTTTGCCTTGCAACAGGCCACCTACGGACCCCTCAAAGAGTTGTTGCAAGGGTTCTTAAAGTGCACTAAATGTAAACGATGCATCGAATTTAAAGTCCACTTTCTGACCAGACGTGGCTGCGTATTTATACATCTCGCACAGCCAAACGGAAGCCCACCTTTGGCAAGGGTTTAAATACCGGAAAGAAGAAGACCAAGAGCGACCATATTTCTATTCCTCAGTTAGCCTGGGGGCAAAAAGGGACCGGGAGATTACGATGTTTTGGGTCAACGAAAAGAGGGGATACAACATTTCGTAGAAATTTTATTGAGAAGCGTAATTACATTGTAAGTTTTCATATATATTCTAGTATCATGTCATTTCCGCAATGTAAAACAATATTAATCAGAAGAAGCAACGTGGAAAATGCCAAAAGTGTCGAAAATAGTAGATATACAATCGAACTTTACTGCCGTAGATTTATACCGTTTTTCTTAGAAAAAAAAAAAAAAAAAACATTGCTGCAAAGGTAAGCGAGACAATATTTTACAAAGAGATAAGATAAGTACAAATTTACCAAAGAAGCAAAGCTGTTGTTGGTGTTCTTCGTCTTCAAGGAAAACTAATTACTTACATTAATTATCTTTCTATGTATAATTACTGTCGGGGCATTTTATCTTAAAAATTACTGTTACTTCTTCAATAGAACATCATTAATAATAAAGAACAATGCATTCATTAGCAAAGAGATAGTTGGGCTTTCATGAACTGGACGGATCTGTCGAATTGAATGATTCAAACATTGTGAACTTAACTACGTTGCTGCCAAATGAAAGTATGTTTTGTATGGTGGCCGGTTAATGCCATATCGCCTTTTCGCTTTTCATATTCTATAAGGCGAAAACACGAAGTCGAAAATATGAAAATGCGAAGTCGAAATCGCGAAATGATTCAACTTCTTGTTTTCGCATTTTGAACTTCGCGTTTTAGCTTTCGCGTTTTGGTGTTTTTGCGTTTTCGCTCTTGCGTTTTCGTGTTTTCGCGACTTAGCGTTTTCGCATTTTTTGGGTTTTTTGCGTTTTGCGTTTAATCTATATAATAATAGTAATAATAATATCTTTATTTAAAGAGAGTTCCTCATGTAGATTAAACTAATTTTCAATAAGGCTGTCAAGAAAATGTTAGTATCCAGTTAGGTTATCTTCAAATTTTTAATCATTATCCAATCAGATAAAAGAAACAAAATGACTGACAGAAGGGGACAGTAATCGACAAACGCAAAAACATGCGAAATCGCGGAAGCTCGAAAATGGAAGTGAAATCATTTTGCGTTTTCGCGTTATCGCGATTTCGTCCTATAGAATATGTAATGCAAAAGGCGAAATCGCGAAACCGGCCACCATAGTTTGCCATTTGAATATGATTTTTTAATATGCAATGTGAGATAAGTTTAAAAGCAACATGCATTGTATAATTTTAATTAGATTATTGTTTTCCTCTGAATGATTTATGCCAAAATATCCATTAAATTAATGTGATAATACCAAAATGACATTCATGACATGTAATATTTAAGGTCAAGTTATAGTAAATGGGCTATGTCAACAATTTTGGAAAACATTTTGCATTCAACTTTTGCCTTGTTATTTAACAGAAAATCGAAAAATAATGCATTTTACTTTTTTATTTTCTGAAATACATGTATTTCTGCCTGAATTCTAGGTGAACATTTGTATAGAAAGCACTAATCTAATCATAGCCGAGGGGAAAAAAGAAACTCATAGCCGAGGGAAAAACATAAAATCCTAGCCAAGGGGAAAAGACAAAACCCTAGACGAGGGAAAAAGACAAAATCCTAGCCGACGGAAAGTAATCGAGGTGAAAAGACAAATTCCTAGCCGAGGATAAAAGTCATAATCTTAGACGAAGGAAAAAGACAAAATCGTAGCCGAGGGAAAAGACATACTCATTGCCGATGGAAAAAAAAATCATAACCACGGGAAAAAGACAAAATCCCAGCCGAGGGAAAACACAAAATCCCAGCCGAGGGGAAAAGACAAAACCCAAGACGAGGGGAAAAGACAAAATCCTAGCCCAGGGGAAAAGACAAAATCAAAGCCGAGGGAACAAGACAAAATCATATCCGAGGCGAATGACAAAATCATAGCCCAGGGGAAAAACAAAATCAATGCCGAGGGGAAAAGACAAAATCAATGCCCAGGGGAAAAGACAAAATCATAGCCGAGGGAAAAAGAAAAAAATCATATATGATGAAAAAAGACAAAATCATAGCCGAGGAAAAAATGGACAAAAGAATAGCTGAGGGGAAAACACAAAATCATAGCCGAGGGAAAAATACAAAATAACAGCAGAGTGGAAAAGACTAAAATGCAGTATAAACCAGTATAAAAGAAATATTGAATACATGTTGCTATGTCTTGATGCATCTTTTTGGTCATTTAGCTCCCAATATTTCTACATATTTATATAGCCCTGCTTTCAAAAATTTTGGTTTGAGTGTTCCTGCTGATGTTTATTCGAAAAAAAAAAACGATACGGACGAAAGAAATCTATAACTAGCTATTTTCAATTAAAATCTGAATAAAATACAGATCCTATGTCGAAGCTATGCTCACAAAGATCTGACAACACTCCATTTTACTCTTTGTTCTGGGGATGTTTACATTACCCAATGAAATCTCCACTTCAAATTTCTGAAGGTGTGCAACATTTTAACAAAATCAGAGGATCCCAAAAGGTATAAAAAGCAGAAAGTAGAACGGATCGTATTCAGATCCATGTAAGCTTAGCTTAGACACATGATCTGTATTTTAAACAGATTTTTTTTCATTTACATAGTAAATTACAGATTTAACAATACAAACCTATCAAGAAAAAATAGCAGCTTCTGTTTCACCAGCTAAAGTCGTCGCACATTGTTCCTTTCTTCGGAGTTTTAACAAGCGGGCGGTTTTGCAACCAAAATCAGATATGACATTAAAAAAAAATACAATCGGGATGTCAAACATTTGAAGTCATTCAGACTTTTGTTGAAAAGTCTGCCATAAAGTGTGCATCGGCATGCATTGTATCCAAGACATGCATGAGAGTCAGATTTGACACTTCGTCATATATTTGTGAACATTATTCTTCTATTGCTGTCAGTGAGGATAGCGACGATGACCGATTGTTTGATTATTTGGTGTTTAACGCCACTTTCAGCACTATTGTGGCGGACGGATTTCGGAGTACCGGAGAGAACCAACGACCGCCAAAGTTAATTAAGATTTGAATGCACCTGGCATAAGCAGGACTCGAACTCACAATCCCAGTGTTGACAGACTTGCGATACAGTAGTTCAAGTACTTAGACTAATCGACCACCGAGGTCCCTAGGATAGCGACGATAAGTTTGAAAGGTTCCATTTTTTGTCTAAATTTTGCCGCCATTAAAAATCAGGGAAACATGCATTTCGAACTTATATGACTTTATGATTTCATGCACCACCTTGGGCGCCTCTAACAAATCCTCCATCATCAGTTATCACGGCTGTCGAAATGTAAGCTATCGAGAAGTGAAAATTGAAACTTCTGGATAGCTGAGTGATTGTGCATACAAACCACTAACAGAAAAAAGGTGAGTCTTGTCTGCTGCATATCACAATTTGTATGATTTAAGGAAAATATGGTGCATAAATTGTACACGAGATGAGCAGATACATACGATATTTAAGTTTTTTATCTGTCCTGCCTTGTGCATGTTGTGGAATGAATATAAGATCAAATGGGTGGCATATGTTAACTACTAGTATTGTAAAATCCTATGAAAAAAGCAAGAACACATTAAAGAAGTGAAAATAAGTTAAACTACTTTGGAATATTTACTAAAAGTAATGAACATTAAACAAAACAAAACAAAAAAGATAAGAAAGCATATATATATACATTGAGTAAACCACGGAAAAGCTAGCAGATGATGATCAACCTCATGTCACCATGTTGAGAAACAGTTTTGAGTGATGCTTGTTTTAAAAATAACAATGCATATCGATTAAACAAAAATAAAATAGTCTTGCAATTTGTGTATAAATATTTGCTGTCTTATTTAAGAGTTTTTTATTTTATTTCTGACTTGTTTCCATTTTCTTTTCTTGCATAATATAATACTACTTCGTACCTAATATCTAAATCACAAACAAGACAAAGTGCTTTTAAGGTTATAATAAGAGATAAAAGATAATTCCATACCTCAAAAGAAAAAAAAAGATAATTGACGGTTATAAGATTAAAATATCAATGACTTTTTAAATGCACATGTATAGTGATTCGTCTTGACATTAAAATATAATGTTTCCGTAACCTCATTTTTCTCAACATCTTACATGTATATGTATTAAGTAAGGATTTTTTTTCCAAATTTCGATAATCAAACATGTTTATCTACTGTGTGATTCTGTTTCAGATAATTCCTTCTACTTTTTTATGTATTATTTGTTTTTTTCGGAACATTTTCATTATATCACTAGTCAATGTTTAGTATGTGTTTCCTCAAACACAAACATGCATATGATTTTGTTACTATTTTTAGGTTTGGGTAAAACCTTTAAATGGCTCCTACGTTGAACTGCAGTCCGATGTAAGTACACAAACGTAATTGATTTCTTTTATTATGTTTTAATAGTTTGAGAGTTATTAATGATTCTAAATATATATTCAATAATTGTGTTGATTCCGTATTTAGATAATCCCTTTGTTCGATCTCAAAAATTACAAATGTATTTCATCACTGTACAAACTGGTTTATAACGTAAAAAAAAACACAAGGAAGACTCATGTGAATTTTAAGTATAAGCTTGAATTGTAAGGAATTGCAGACAGAAAAATGTCAACAAAGGCCCTACAACCCTATATATTGATAAGCAATAATGACAGTGGCACAGTTTTGGGCGTAAACGTAGCTCTATGTGAATTGCATTGCTATTTTACCCATGCGCAACCTCAACTTTATTGGATGAAATATTTTAAGCCATTAAAACATGAATTCATAATAATTTTGACAATATCGGGATATCGCTTAAACGTCATTTGTCTTCCATTTTCACTGAAATAGCAACATTAAGCGGAGCAAATCATAGGTTAAAATCCCTTAAACTTGCGTCAGGAATTTGTATAACTTTGCGGCAGGAAGTACGTCATCAATCTATTGTTCTCCTATTGCTCTGAGTTATGTGAGATATACCGAGCCTCAGACCTTTATGTGAAATCAGTCATAGGTAAAGAAATTAAATGACAGATGAAACCCCTATTGTAATGTAACGATGGATAAGGATATTAAATTATTTGTGTCACAAACAAATGAAATGAAAATCTCCATCTGATAACAATATATTATAGTACGCCAGCAAACTCAAATTTCTTAAAATCAAAAACGAATTAAATTTTAATACGATAAAAAAATACAAAATCTATGATACTTAAGATTTTGTTAACCAACATTTAAATACATAAATGTTATTCATAACGGAAGGCAAATAACATCTGTTGTATTTTCAGCAATATGTTAAAACAAATTAATTTTTAAATTTAAAAACTATGTAATTTTAAATCTATACAAAAATTTCTAACGTATATTCAAAATTCTTTTTTTTTTGGACAAATATTTATCTTGCAACTGCAATTCACAGGGGGATCATGATTCCATTCATCATAAACTATTAAGTTTTAGCTTTGTCCTTAATAGCTCGAAAAAATTTCGGAGAACAGTACAAATCAGCAACTCGGTTAAGATCAAAAATCGAGCCAGATTTGCAATGGATTCGATACCTATCACATTCTCAACTTGATATGAGGAGGAGGGAAATAATAGCGCTCATGATAATCTTCAGCGTTCCCTGATATGTTTCCACTGCTTATTCGATCAATTCTACACTTTTTGGACGAGGAATGACGAATCCAGGTTAGAGTTAGAATGCATATAAAAAGAATGTTTACGGAATTACCGGATCAGAACATTTTCACATTCTCCTTCGACGAAGCTAATAAATGTGTTGAACTGAAGAACATTCGTGGTCAGTTTATAAAATATCCACTACAATCGGACGTTTCAAAATCATAGGTAAAGACTTCATAAACACTTTTAAATCAGCATGGTAGTTAGAAAAATGACGAGGATAAATGTTCGATATGAATGATATAAACAAATAAGAGTTGCCGTCAAAATTTTATCTATACTTGACATGTAAATGCATCATGACCATAGAGGAAATTATACGAAATGTATTTATCAATCCTTCAAAGCCTAGAGCATATCGTGGACCCGAAAAGATCCACAAAATCATACGTAATCTGTAATACGACAGGCCTGGTATCTACAAAATTATAAAATGGATGCAGTATCCAGACGATTACAGTTTATAAAAGCTGGTAAGTCGGAATTTCAAAAGAGCTCAAGTGATTGTTTAAGGTCCAGATGCACAATTGGACGTCGACTTATTAGCTATATATATAGACACGCAATCTTTTCCAAAAGACAACGAGAGTGTGAAGTACTTGTTGTAGGCCATCGATGTGTTTTCTCGATATGTTTGGGTCGAATCACTGAAAAATAAGACTGCCAAAGAAGTTGAAAAGAAATTTGTTGAAAATACATGACAAAGTCAAACCACTGAAAATTCGTACTAATGGAGGATCTGAGTTTAACAATAGCTGGGTGAATTTTTTTTATCAAAGAACATACATATTTATCAACTCGTGACCTAAAATGAGGTCAAAGCCTATTATGTGGATAGACTCACCCCGACTTTGAAGACTATGATATATAGATAGTTCAATCGGAATAAGATGCATAGATACATAGACGTACTGCAGTAGTTGGTAGTAGTTAGTGCGACTCCTCGTTGATCACTCAACAACTGGTCAACGATTCGGACGTTACAAATGTAGGAGTATCAAACTACAAACATGTCTGCAAGATTTTATTTAACGTAGGAATTGACAATTCGAAGTTTAAGGATTATTACCCGGACAATGAACCGAGGAAATTTAAAATGCGTGTTGATACTTCTCTCAACTTGTCTGGGTTGTGGACTGTGACTTTAACTGACGTTCTAATACGTGAACAAATTAAATATACATTGTAGTGTAGCTACAAAGTCGATACTCAACGGAGAACAACGAAAATCTATGCCACGTGTTCTTCATTTTAAGAAGAGGGGGAACTTGATATGTTAAAATGGATAATTGCTGATCTTTGAAATGGTATTCTATATAACGAACAGACAATTGGAATACTCATCATTTCTCAAAACAACAAGTGATTTTTAACACCACACTTCCGTCAAAAATCTGTTAGAATGAAAAAAGATGGATGCATCCAGGTAATACGTTCCTGACACTTCTAAGCGTTCATTGCATGACTGCATGCATCTGTCAATTTATAAATAGATTATTTGCATATTTTATATTTTATAACTATTCGTGTCCAAGAACCAATTCCAGCAAAACTTACTATTATCATTGTCTATAAGATGTTTCGCCTGAAGTATATATATTCACTTCACTTTCTTAAATTAATGAGACCTGATTTGACCTTTCTTCGGCACATTGTTCTGTGATAAATTATTAAATTTTACACATCTATATATTTGAAAGGAATGGACTGTGGTAATCAAATAATTTACTAAATATTTCTTTGATTTGATGAGGTTACATCTGGTGTTTCGGGTATCATTTAGGTCATATTCGACCATGGCCGTACATGCTCATCAGGTATTTTTTCACTATAATATTCGATGATGAATACTTTTTAATTTTAATCAATATATTTTTTTCGTGAAACGTATCAAATGCAGTTACATTTTTGGGGCACTACACCTGGTGAATCTGTAATACACTTATAGTTTAATGTCCATTCCTTATCTATTACTTTATAATTTTGCCGAGGTCAAGTACTCCTTCACATTCTTGTGTTTACGATAAGCAATTATAGGCGGTCTGGGGAAAAGATGTTTAGCGGTTGCATGATCTTCAATCAAATGCCAGTGTTTTCTTATTCGTCTTCCCAACTACTTAAATAAGTGATTACATTAACAAAAGTTATGACTCGTGGTGGACTTTTCTGTTTATTTTTTGTTTTGTAACATAATGTATTTTGCCTATTTTTTCGAAGTGATTTATTTACTAGTGCATTAATTTAATTTTTCTTGTGTCCCCTGAGTATTAGCTTGTGTTTGAATAGTCTGTTCTGTGTATCGAGGTCATTTTTGTTATTAGACGATCAAATGAACCATGTACCTTCACTAATTCTAAATCCCTTAAATAAGAGCCGGGATGACTATGACATACTAACTTTAATTTTCTCACCAGCAAAAACTTCTGATCTAGTTCTTTTGAGCGGTCCTACAATTAGTATTTATATTTATCTCAAACTTTAACGAAATATCAGTACAATACTGCGTCTTCAGCAATTTGATCTAAGGCAGCTTTAAAACAATTCCATGAAAGGGCAAATTCTATGTGTTCATAGGTTTCTTTAGTCTATCAGCATTTTGTTTTCAAATTAACAACACTACCGCTACGTAATGTGCCACTACAGGATTATATTTTTTTTAGAACGATGTCATTCTTTCGTTGAATTTTCATTACAATAAATATATTAAACACGATAATCGGTCAACTTAAAACAAACAACTGTATAAACACAATTGTAAATACGGAAACTGAAATACATATAGATATACAATTTAAAAACTTTTATTCGTTGATTTGAATATTTAATTTTAACCTCACCTAATCCGAAGGGTCAGGTGAGCTATTATCATCACTTGACGTCGGTCGTGGTTGAAATTCAAGGCCATATTTTGCATAAGTGAAATTTGTCACATTTCTTTCACGGAGAGAAAATTAACATCAAATTCATATTGCAAGTTGAAGATGGCAAAATTGGCTTTGAATTTGAAATATTGAGTCGAACTAACCCATTAAAGGAGCGGGACCGGAGGAGTCGACATGGTAAGCGTCTCATGCATGTATCATCTGCCATGCGAATCCACAATCAGTCAAACCGTCACAATCGTAAAAAAAAGATACAAAATCCAATTTGTGATGATAACCATATAGTGTGAAAATGCTAGCCCGTAACGTATTAATCAAAATATGTTTACACCATACAATAGGACAGAGGGCATGTTATTGCTTAGAAAGAAAGAACTAGCATGGAAGTATCCTTACGCTAGAGAGGCCAGGCCTATTTATTTACAGGGAATATATTGTCATTTATGTATGTTATTGGATAAAGCTCATTAAGACAAACATTTTGAGCTATTACTTGTCTTAATCGGATATCTGGTTCAAAAGTTACGAGTGTTCAGAGTTTCCAATTCATCCCCCCTTTTTTATCCAAGATGGCCGCCATTTTATAGACATTGAAGTCCCTTTTGGAAGGTTAATATTGATCCACATTGACATATATCAACCACATACTGCTTGTTTTCTGACAGTGTATACCACATTCTATTATATTACAGTTCAGAGTTGTCCATGATATGCTCTCAAAAAATTTAACAGCCATACAAATTTCCATAAAGTGCTGTTTTCTGCCTTGCATAATGGGACACGATAACCATATAGCTCTATCAATTATCAAAAATGATGGTATGCATATAACATTATAGATTGATTTCACCCTGCAACTCATCACAAATGGTACAATTATGAAAAATTGGACAAGTAGGTTGAAGGACATAAAAAAAAATAAGGCTCAGTTTGCACTCCCAGCCTCTTTGACATTAAAATGATGAATGGCACCGAGGTCAATATTACAACAATAAGTATTGTAGTGTCCAATGGTAGCACTAAAATGGAAATATCTCATAAACTACTAAAGATGTGTTCATGAAATTTTTCATGAGATTAAAACAGTTATCAATGCATGTGATGGTTATTTCTTTGTGCTTAAAAGAGCGAGTATGGCGGCCATTTTTAATCAAAATGGCCGCCAATTTCATAACTTTTGAATGAAATTTATACATTTTTTAGTCCTACTCTCATATTTCTTGACCGATTTTTGTAATGCTGGTATCAAATTGTTTGTCTCGATACAAGGTACCAATTTTTTATTGTATTGGGACAATCCAGCTCAAATTGGTAGCCATTTTGATTCCAAATGGCTCCCGTTTTTTAGATTTTCTATCCCGATTAAATGCTTTTTGTCATATTACTCTGTCATTTTTTTGACTGATTTTTGCAATGCTGGTATCAAATTGTTTGTCTTAACACAAGGTACCAATTTTGGAATGAATTGTGACAATACAACTCAAAATGGCAGAAATTTTGATTCAAAATGGCTCCCATTTCGGAGTTTTTCTGTTTCGATTAAACATTTTTCATCAATACTCAGTCATTTCTCAACTGATTTTTGCAATGTTGGTATCAAATTGTTTGTTTTAATACAAGGTATCAGGTTTTGAATGATCCAAAATGGCTCCCATTTGAAGGTAATCCCAAGTTTTTACATCACGATCTATGTTTTATCTTCATTATTCTCTCATTTTTCAGCTGAGTTTTGTAATATTGGTATTCAACTAAATATCTTAACACAAGTTATCAAACCGGCAACAGGAATTGACTACCCATCCTGAGACTGAGTTCATTTGTAAAAAAACATGCACATGGCATATCAAATTATGCATTTACATGTTGTATATTTCATCCTGAATATGCTTGAAATATTTGCCACTGGATGTTACTGGAGCCAAATAATAAAATGTCATTATGTTATTGATTCATCGACTGAAACAAATTATGCCTGATACATGTGATATTTGATGATTTCATGAAAAAAAATTCCAGCATATAATGTATTTTATTTTTTAAACAGCTCTAATAAATTCACTACTAGCACTGTTATATGCCTGCATCATCATTTTCTTCATCAATAACATATCAATTGGATAATTCTGTTGAAGTTGTACCATCAGTGCATCACTGAATCATTTGAAGTTGTACCACTACTGAGTCCGAGATTCCTCAAGGTTCTATTGATAGGTTACCATTCCATGACATTTTTCCAAATTTGCAATGCAATTGCTGGTCAAGCTTACATCTATGGGATCCAGACTAAAACATCACAAGAAAAAAAAAAAAAGTTATTAATATGCTATACTTATTTATTAAGATAAAGTTTATATTAAATCATAGTAATATTAGCAGCAATAGAAAGAAATATATATGACTACTACACAGAAATTTATGATATCTGTTTACATAAATTTATGACATAGCATGTAAACACATGATTTCATAAACCCTAGACAAAATAGGTATTGTAATATTTCTTATATTCAGAACAAATAGTATCATAATTTGTTAAAACCCAAGTTCTTCCACCTGAATCTTTTGCGTTAACTTCGAAATCTGAACAGAAAATAAAAATATTTTCCACAACACTAATGTCATCTTTTTGTGGCCATTTAAACAAATTGCCCATATTTTGGGATGGACACAAAATTTTTACCTGAACCAGTAAATCATTTTTAACAGATAAAATTTGACCTGGATGCCAGGTATCAATATATGCTACAGCTACATACTGTCCAGCTTTCAAAACTATGGACTTTGGAGTATATGTTTCTGAAGGTTTGCTAACAACAAAATCAGTTTCTTCTACATTATCATGATTTTGACTCTGATAATTAGCTTTATTACTGTTTGATTTTCTTGGTTTTTTCTGTACTGGGTCACAGACTGAATGGTTCTGTTTAATTTTTATTTCATTGAGCTTTATACAAATGAGTTCTCTTTGTTTTTCCATAATTTGCTCCCTTTCTTCTTTTGATTTAATACAAAAAATAATACATGCATCTTTGGTTCCAGATTGTGCATTGTTCACATTAATATTCAAATGTATAAGAACTTTCAAATTAGAAATAAGCTCTGCTAAAGAAAATGAAATATTATTAGAAGAAAATTGTAAAAGTGTTTTATCTTCAACATTCATGTGTAAAACTTTTTTCCTAAACTTAAGTTGAGTTTTTACCGCTTCAATCTTTTCATTTTGAGTTAAGTTAACTAAAAATTTATTAATGTCTTCAATATTTTGCCAAAGACCACCTATGTTCTGAATGTCTTTTGAAATTTTTTCAATTTCTTGCTGCTTTTGCAATTGTTTTTTTAATTTATCTGCCTCTCTTTTCTTAAGTAATAATAAATGTTGATTTTTTATTTCAATCTTTCTTTCTTTAAACTGTTTAATGATCTCTGGTGTACGTTGTCTTGCTATTTTAAAATATTCAGATTTTTTTTCACTTTCTAAATTATTCAACCACTTAACTGTTTTGTTGTTAGCAAACAAAATAATACCTTCCAGTGCAATTAAATTGGCATTTGGTTTTTCCCTTTGAAGCCTGTCTAAATTTGCAAAATCTCTTTCCGAAATAATATTGGTAGTAGCAACTGATTTGCTTTGTTCTCTTAAATTTATATCAATCCCATCAGTTTTTTCATTTAATATTCCTCCAGGAAGACAGTCACTTAACTGTCTCTCTAGAATGAACTGAAAGTTTAATAAAATAATTTGAAGAGCTTCAGTAGTAAGAATGTTGTGTTCTTCGTCTTCAACAGCAAATAAACAACCAAAAATTTCATCAATATTAGTATAGTTTTTATACAATATTTTTCCTTGTACTAAATCAGTAGCATCTTGAGAATAAATCTCTAAAAACCCTTTAAATTGTTCCCACACCTGATTTAAATCTAAGATATGATCTGCATTTTCTATAATACGCCACAAAGGACCAGTAAATAACTTGTCAACTATTCCAAAAGCTCGACAACCATCCAAATACATTGGATTTTTAACATAATTAGCAACAGCTTTTAATAAATTATGTCTATTCTCTTTTTCAAAATACAAATCAATAAATTCATAAATATTATCTTTGTGAAAAAACACAGATGCACCCATAGCAAAAAGCAAATTAATACGATGACCGTGAAAAGTGGTCAACTTAAGATCAATGTTATTATCACTCAAAAATGTTCGAAACAATGAACCGTAACCAGACTTTTCATCAGCACCTGGTACACAAAGTTTGCAGCAAGCTCTAATAAAATCAGTTGTTGACTGATTATAAGTAAAATTAACATTATTATCTTCAACATTATCTAAATTCGAAATATTTTTTTCCCATTGTTTAAGGCCAATTTCTGCCTGGGAAGCAAACTTTACAATAACATGCAAATTACATTTAGAACCATTTAATGTAGCAACTTTTTTTCTAACTTTCTCCGGTGTATCCCCATCTTCCGGTATACACTCAAAACGCATTTTTTCTAAACAATTTTTCAAACAGGTATTTACAATATGACGATCTGTCATTAAATTTTTGACTGACAAAAGTAGTTTTGCCTTCTTTACAGCTATATCCTAATCAGTTTCTAATAAACTACCCATATCACTTAAAATTTGGTCAATCATTTTTAAAAAGCTTTCGGTATTGCCACTCACAAGTTCCGAAATACCTAAAGAGAGTTGCCCGGAATCGGTACCAACTTGAAGCCCCCCAAATTCCCCACCCATACGTTTTGTCCCATCTGTATGTAACGTATTAAAATTACTATTTAACATAGCTTCTGCAGCTTGAATTTGAGCTAATGCCTTAGCTTCAATCATCATATATTCTGCAAAGGTTTTTTTGGGAAGCCTTTCTACTTTTAAACCTCCAAGTTTTTCTAAAACTGTTTTCATGACATTTTCTATGTTTTTCACGCCTACATTCATAGATAACAATGTAGCATACACCTCCCGTACATCATCTGTGTATTTACCTTCATGAAATGTAGTGACCATTTTTGATTGTGAAAGTTCTTCCAATTCATCTTTGAGAATAAAATTTTCATTTTCTAAATATGAAACTTTCTCTCTAAGTGAAGAAACCTCAATGTTTTCCTTGTTGCATGTTTTTTGTGTTAAATTTTGAGTGACTTTAGCTTTTTTCAAATTTCTATACTTGTCGCGGTAATATTTCAATAGTGATGATGTTTGTTTATGAATTTGTTTGCTTATTTCTGACTTCTGTTTTATTAATTTTTTTTCTGTAATGTGTTTGCTATTTTCTGACTGAAGAAACTGTATTTTCTTTTGCCTCCGCTTTAGCTTTTTATTTACATTTCTTGTAGAAAAGTTGGACAGTTTTATACAGCATGTAGCATATTTTTTATTCAGTTTCACATTGCTCTTCTTTAATTCATTTAATTTTAAATTTGCATTCATTCTTGCATGCCTAGCAATTTTCAATTTGTTTTCAAGATTTTGTACATTCTTTTTCAACATACATTTCTCTCCATCTACAGTGTTTAAACAAGGACGCCTTTGTTGAAGGCCTTCACCTTCATTTTTCCCTGTAGCATTATATTTGGTTTTGGGGGGGGGTACATATATACTATCCAAGTACATGTCTTGATCTATTTTACTGTTTTTAGATAGAGCTAGCTGCCTTTTATAAAAACTTTCCATTTGTCTCCTCAAAAAACCGACATCAGGACAATAATCGAGACCCAACATTAATTTTATCCAAACAGAAAAATCTTTAAAAGTGAAATTGTGTCGGAGTCTGAGTTTTCGTAACTCTACAATTAAACCAATTGGTAAATTCAAAATACCTTCCAACTTAGAGGGGTTCTTTAACCATTGTAATGAAATACCATATTTCATACAATAGGGCCCTACTTCACTAAAATTTCATTTCCAAAAACTACATCATAACCTAAAGTAACATCAATGCGTTTTAAAATCAGAGCCATTCTGTTTCTAATTTTTCTTACAAAAGATGACACAGAAGTAATTAAAATATCAAAGTTCTTAAAAGCTATTGGTAAGTTCTCTTTAATTGACATTTCTTCTTCTTCTTCAACAACTTTAATGACTGCATCCCAGAAATAAAATTCTTTCCAAATTGGGCTCTTTAATTTCTCTAACGACCAACCATCTGAAATAATAATCGTACCCAAAAATAAACAAGTATATTAAAAACTTTGCCAGTTAATCTGTTGCTGTCTCATGAACATATACCCCACATATGTGCCCATTTGTTAAACATTCTACTGTTTAAAATACCTCACCTATTATTTCATCAGGTACGTGTTACAAATATACCATGGTCTAAATTGTCATCGTCCAGCGATGGTGAAAATAATATGACATCATGATCATTGGTTGGTGATGGTAAGAGATAAGTATGGTTTCTATTTCTACGATGGTATGGCATTATCATATATTGACTTGTCAAGCAATGAGTTCACTCATATAGTTTCATCATCCAGCAATACAACATCTATTAGAGGCTACATCATCCAAATTTGCTGACATTCTAGATGTTCGAACAATTCTAAATATCCATTAAGCTGAAAAACACAAAGAAGGGACCACAAAGAAAAGGTTCTAATGCCATGGAACATGATTCATACATTTATTAAAATGATGCAGTATTATTTTTTTTTAATTTTATGTAAAAATTAACATAAAAACACCCTGTTCAAGTGTGGATTGGATATCCGTTGCTAAATTTGAAACATATTTATGTAAGGAATTTCCTCTACCTAAAGATAGGTATATTAAAGTAACATGTGCATGATCTAGGTTTAAATTTTAGAAATTATCTTATAATCAGTGACAAGCTTCCGATAAACTATAACATTATTAGTATCTTTGCTAAAAAATGAACCAGAACCCTTTGTTTATTGACCTGACACTTAAGTCTCATTGAAACTTCCCTATATCGGTTCCTTTTTCACGATGAACTTACATTTATATCTATGCCCCACCCCCTATTGCCCCAATTTATTTGCTTTATCGTTATTCAAATTCTTTTATTTTCCTAATTTCTAAAGCTTAAAAAAAGTTAAAAGCATTAAATATGAGAACTAACCGGTATAATTCTCGTCCTTCAACAAAGCGACCACTGTTTCACGATTAACGTTGAACTCCGACAGCCGTTTCCAACATTCCTGTTCACTGGACATTTTCACGTAGGCACTGTTATTACTCGACGCTGAAAAGAAATATGTTCCCGGTTAAATTTTAAGGAGAGATTTAGATCATTTTAAAGATAAAATATTGAAGATTAAAAATATCTCGGTCAAAAAAGTAAAATTCTTACTTAATCTGGTAAATGTTCGACTTGAACTTTTGTTATTGAAATTGCAAGGTCATAGAAACCGGAAGATGAAATTTGACTGGTACCAAAAGTAAAAAGAAACCCTGCTCTTTCATTGGATAACAAAATTAGATCGATATGACGTCAGGAACATATTTCTATTTCAGTTTGAAGAGGGCTATCCCTGCTCGAAATGCGTGCCGCGGATGACGTTCTTTTGAAAAAACATCGCGAATTCGCCTGAAAATGAAAATTTATTACTACAAGTAATCAAAATAGTTTATTATAATAGAAAACACAACCTTTCATCCTTCATTTTAACAATATAATGACACTTAGGATATACGGGAACAACAAGAAAATAATATTTCAATTTCTTTGAATATTAGTAAAATTGTCAACTGGAAAACAAAATGGCGGACAAAATAAACTATTCTGGTCTCTCTACTTACGCTTCAGTTCACTGGATATATGAGTTGCAAGTACTCACTGAGATATTGTTGAGTGATATGCCATCATCAGTATATCTGAAAGTGAAATTAGCGACCCTTGCAAGATGCGTGTGCATTTCTTCTTTCTGTTATGAATCCTGCTTCATAGGAACGGTGAATAAGTATACTCAGTGAAATATCGAATGTCTCCTGTATTATAAATACATCGATCCCACAGATATCAAATATTGTATGGTAGGGGCTTTGGTAGCAGTCATCACTGAGGTTGTGAGTTCGAACCCCGCTCGTGCAGGTGCACTCGATTCCAATCTTAATTGAATAGGATTGTCAGTTTTCCTGTCGAAGGTCTGTGGTTTTGTCCGGGCACTCCGGCTTCCTCCACCAATAAAACCTGGCCGCCACGAAATAGCCAAAAGCGGTGCTTAAAACACTAAAGGTCAAAAAGTCTGAAAAGACCAATTTTTGTCTGAATTAGCATGAATTTTTACTCGACATTCTTTCTTTGTCTCTGAATTATTTAATAAAAAATCTTAACAAAGTATGAATTTGTCTAATGAAGTTCTTAATTTTTCTTGACAAATGTCTTGACAGTATTAACATTGTATTAAAATTTCTCGACACTTTTTGTATCATCTGATAAGAGTCTTGATTAGTCTCGACCAATTTCTTTTGCTGTTATACATATACTCAATTTTTATCCTCGCTAAACTAAACTTAGAAGAATTAGGATACAATAATACTTTGCTAATTAATAAAAGACACATTTTGGTAAAATAATTGTTTTTTACTATATTAACATTGCATATTATGCATGAAGAATGAAATGTCTACAGTATGATTGGTTTTAATCATTTAGAAATTATTTATAAGATTTATGAATCAACTTTTGTAATTATTCACAAACCTACATTTAAATTGGTTTATATCAACATATTTGTTAATATTTCAAATTTCATACCCACATTTGTATTCATCAATATATTTATATACCCAAATTGTTAATTATAAAAATATTTACATGCCCAAATTTTGTTTTGTTGTAATAAGTGAAACTTGAAATAACAGTATATTATATAAAAAGAAATAAAGATAAAGTTATATCATGTATACTGGTCATGATTTGTAAAACTCAGAATTGTCAAGTAAATTTAAGACACAATTCAAAATGTTCAGAATATGTCAAGCCATACTGAGAAAAAATAAGAATGTTGAGAATATGTCGAGAAATTTCAAGACTCAGTCGAGAAATTTCAAGACAGTATTCAAATGTCAAGAATTTGTTAAGAAATTTTAAGACCATATTCAGAATGTCGAGAATTTGTCGAGTAAATTTCATACAAATTTAATATAAATTAGAATTTGTCAAGAAAAATTAAGACACAAGTCATACTTTTGGAGAATGTCGAGTAATTGTTCATGCAAATTAGGACAACAATTGGTCTTTTCAGACTTTTGGACTTTTGTAGTGAAAGTGGCGATAAAACACCAAAAATCAAAATCAAATCATTATTGTATGGCATAGCTCAAAATGTTTCTATTAATTTTAAAATCGATGTTATTATTATATCTTCATAATTTATTCACCTTTTATTTTCATTATGAATCTAAATTAAACACATATCTTAGTACCAGTAACACATTGACCTGTTATTAATGAAAATAACACAATATCAATGTGTTGCATCCGAAACACATTCATTAGGCACGCCTAAACCCAAAAGCATATACAAAAACTTGTAAACTTTAGGAGCTTTATGAGCAAAATGGACCTTATTATTGGCTTTTAGCTAGCTGTCAGTAACTGCAAGTACTCTCAGACCTACATTTGTAGTCTGTTTTGTTGTGGAAATGTATAAGTACACTGCCACGTCCGGTCTGTGTTTTTGTTTGATGTAATCTGTTTTCTATTGATCTGATGATTTAAGCCCTTTCCAACTGATTCTTATAGTTTGTTCGTATGTTATACTGTTACACCAGTGTTCCAGGTAAGGGGAGGGTTGGTGCCTTCAAACTAGTTTAACCCCGGCATATTCTGTATGTGCCTGTCCTAAGTCAGGAGTCTATAATTCACATGATTCAGTGGTTGTCATTTGTTGCTACATATTTGTTTCTCGTTCATTATTTTGTACATAAATTATGCTGTAAGTTTTCTCGTTTGAATTGTTTTACATTTTGTCATTTCGGGGTCTTATATAGCTGACTATACGGCATAGGTTTTGCTCATTATTGAAGGCCGTACGGTGACATATAGTTGTTAACTTCCATTTCATTAAGTCTCTTGGGGGAGAATTGTCTCATTGCAATAATAACACATCTTCTTTTTTTGATACTCACAAGAACAAATTGACTGCATCAAGTTATTTCGACAGTTATCAGTCCGAAATAACCTATTAATAATCATAGTTAGAAATGCAGGCCAACATTTGTATTTCACATGCATTTTCTATTCAGACAAATCGTATAACACATAAGATAAGGAGATGCGGTATGTTTGCCATTGAGACAACTTTCCAACAGAGTCCAAAAAACGTGGATTGATATATATTATATGTCACCGTATGGTCTTCAACAATGAACAACACGTATATTGTATATAAAAGGTTCAGACAGGACAAATGTAATCCATTCAAAGGAAAACCCTAAATTCGAAAAAAAATGTTGTGTTTTACAGATTTTTTATCGAGTCATCTTAAATGATATGTTCTTATCTAAGACTATAGTAGAAGATTGCGAACTTCTTTATTTCCTGTGGTTATTATTTATGTTTTATCGAAATTAACTTCTGATATTAATTCTAAATCATGTATTTCATATTCACTAAAATCTCCTAGTACTGAAATCTTTAACAACTGTGTTTCTTTTTAAGCCATATTTTAAAACTGACATACACATCAGACATTTTTTTTTTCAAAAATATTGTTTGCAAGGAAATATCTTTGGGTGAATATGATTGTTAGAAGAAGATTCATATTATAACATAAGTACAAACTATGATAAATCTGTTTTAATGAAAACAACAACCACTGTTTAAATGACACGAAAAAAAAAAGTGACGATCTGGACGCTGGTTGGTAAATTATGACTGTTTTAATGTGTGTTCCAGTATATATTTAATTTTCAAACCAGTTTTCTCGCTAATTCATATATGTTTTTTGCAACTCATTAATATATCTATTATAAGGTACAAACTAAAATTGGTATATTTAGGTTTCTTCTTGAGATAAAGGAAGGCGTCTCCTCAATATTTTATATTTCCGAGTTTGAACATATTTTTTAGTTGTGTGCAAAAGAAAAACTCCAGTGAGCGGACGATTAACTATTTAGCTTACATCTTCATTACACAAAAAAGAAGATGTGGTTAGATTGCAAAAGATAAATTCTCAAGCAAAGACTAAATGCCGTTGAAGTATTTCTTGTCAGTCCATATCCGTTTTGGTTTATGTTGTAATAACATGTACATACTAAAACTCCTTATCCATAGATACATTTTATACTCATTCGATCAATATTTGAATTGATTCCGCTGTTAAATGAAGCCGAAAGCATAACATGGCAACAAATTTTAGGCACAGCCTACAAAGGACAAATAAAAAAAGCATAATTTTAAGCCAATAGATATAGGAAGATGTGGTATGAGTGCCAATGAGACAACTCTCCATCCAAGTTACAATTTATAAAAGTAAACCATTATAGGTCAAGGTACGGCCTTCAACACGGAGCATTGGCTCACACCGAACAGCAAGCTATAAAGGGCCCCAAAAATGACTAGTGTAAAACCATTAAAACGGAAAAACCAACGGTCTAATCTATATAAAAAAGAGAAACACGTAGGAACTGCATAAACAAACGACAACTACTGTAATCAGATTCCTGACTTAGGACAGGTGCAAACATTTGCAGCGGGATTAAACGATTTAATGGTACCAAACCTTTTCCCTTTTCTGAAACAATAGTATAACATCACAACATAGAAAAACACACTATAAAATATCAATTGGAAGGCTTAACTCAATCAAAAAACGTAAATTAACACACAATGAACGAATAAATTTGACCTGTGACACTGAATGCAAATACACAGTTAATAAAAAATTACAAGGGATAAATAATTAAAGTCAAAAGTAAATAAACAGGTTTAAACAAAGTTAAAGTATGATATCACTGTGAAATTTCAAACAATTTTTAGAAAATCATCACTTTTGAAGAAACCTGCGTCATATTATACACAGGTAAATGAAAATAATTTTATTGTTAAGTATACTTCTTCTTCTGTGTGTATAAAATCTTCCGTTTAGGAATACCAAGAAATTTCTTTAATATCAATAAAACTAATATTACACTTGGCACATATGGGGTGAATATCAACAATAAAAATATACAATTAGTGCTAGATAAAACTTCCTGTACAGGTCCAAGAACAGCATCTAAGGAAAAATGAAATAATTTTGATGTTCATAGTACGAAGAAGTGAAAATTTGTAGTAAATTAAATACCAAATAATCAAAGCTGGTATATAGACAAGATCCATGTTAACAGTAAATAACAAAAAAGCATTACAAATAGTATCAACAGGTCAAAATAAAAAGAAAGTACGATTTGAGAGTACTCGCAGTTACTGACAGCTAGTTAAAAGCCAAAACAATTAATAATAAAAAATCATGCATCAGAGACTAAAATCAACTAAAATACATCCCAGGGATTTAGTATTTCAACGTCATGAACAGTCAAAGAAGACATGACTTGTGCTATACCAAAAATAAATGTATCGACAGGTAGTAGGATAGTTAGGAGTGACTTCTTTATAGATAAAAATGAACGTGTGTGTGTCTCTATACATCCCGTTTGAAAAGAAAATACAAAGCTGCATATAGATAATGGTATTAAACATGTTTAAATGACGATCTGTAAGTTATGACATGTATGTTATTTGTTCAGAAATTTTTAAAACAACACAGGGAGAAACATATGTATGTTTTAAATCAGCTTGCTGCTTTTTCTTTGTTCAAATGGCAAACTATGGGATTTATTTTTACTGTGTAAATTTGTTGGTATGTAACCTCATATTAAAGATTAACAAAAACAGCTTAATCTATGAAAAATAAAAAGAGGCTTCCCAAAACTAAATTTTATGTGCTCAGATCTATCTTTTATTTAGTTATTTTTCATTAATATACTCATTGTATCTATCATAGGTCACCAGCTCATTCTAGTCTTAGATTAAGAAGAAGACACCAGAGCAGCAAACGGTAAGATACCAATTTCATTTAATAGAGAGAGAGAGATAGAGAGAGAGAGAGAGAGAGAGAGTATAAGGAAAATGGATGTACATTACAATATCATTCTTTGTCTTTTTTGAGGAAGAAATTATATTTTTTCGGGAGGCTAAAGGTACTTGTATGTTTGCGCAAAAAGAGTCATCATCAAACTGAGCAACTAGTACAAAATGTAACAATTAAGGTTCTTTATTGATGGGTGATTATCGATATTTGAGAATTCCATTATGAAATGTCTGTTGTCAAAAACAAGAAGATCAAAGAAGCCATATTGTATTTAATTTCACATTGAGATATATTGTCATGGTTGATGATGTTCTCTGCGTTATCAATCCAAACTTTTCTGTTCGGATTCCATTAATATACTAGACATTAAGGAAACAAGATACTAGGCTTCCTCTGCCTTATTTTAGACGACTCATACTTCGAACTTGACATAATCGGTCATCTCAGTACCAGAATCCTTCATATATTTGTAAATTTGTAAAACTATTGTGATTCCAATCAATGCCATTTTTTGCCACTATATCAGGTTTATCGGAATACAAAAATATCAGCTCCCTTGAAACATGTGAAAGATACATGAACAAGTATATTTGTTTACTTAAATTAGCCGAACTAGTGTAAATTTCATTTAAATTTATCTATAATTATAGTTCTTTTTATACAAAAAATTAAACAGTTTGATTTTAATTACCATTATACGGTATACCTATTTAAAGCATATTCAGTACTAGTTATACTTTGTAATAACATTTTCGTTTTTCGTTTAAAAGATTTGAGATATAATCATATTTTATAAGTTGATACTTGCACTGTCTTGGAAAACGCAACTATTCTCAGACTGGCACTTTGCGACTTTAGTATTTTTGTTAGTTATTTGTTTTGCTATTGAGCTCATCTGGTCTAAAGACCATGTGAGCTTTTTTCATTACTTGGTTCTTCTCGTCGTCGTCCTTCTGTCTGTCAGTCTTCGTAAACTTTTATAAAAAAAATCTTATCCTCTGAAACTATTAGGCAAAATATTATTAACCCTTATCTGGATGTTTTTTTTTTGTGACATCTAGAATAAAATGGTATCCGGGGATCGGATCCGCCAACCAACAAGGCCGCTGTTTAAATAAAAAGGAACATACAGAGTTAAATGCAGTTTTTGGCTTATATCTCATCATGCTCATAAACCAAACCAACACCAGAACCAAAAACAGGATTTAAAAAGATCGGTGAACAAAATAAGCAGCAAAAACAGATATTTGAGTTGATCAACTTAGCAAAAATTGTCAATTGACTGCCTAGGGAAGTTTTTGCCCCTGAAAGATGATTTGAATCCATTTTTTGCAGAAACCATTATAGATAGAGAGAATTTGTAAATAAAGATGATTTGTATCCATTTTTTGCAGAAGCCATAATAGATATTAGATTAATTGATATTAAGATTCAAATACTTTTAAAAATGACTTCACAGGAGAAATTTTGAAAAGAAAATGTACCTATATATAAATTATACGAAAGCTTTTACAAAAGTGTTTATTTTAACAGGTGAGAAAAATGACACAGAAGGAGCAAGAAAACTTTTTAAAGAATGCCATTTTAATTGTCGATCATACGAAGACATCTTTGATTGCATTGGTTGATTTAGATCTTCAGAACAAAAGCTTAACATTTGAACAATTTCTCAATAAAAACCGACATGAAGCTTACCATTTATGTTACAATAGAGGTAAATGCTGTCAGTGTGTTCATTCTTATATTTTACCATCAGTTCGTGTTATATATCCAGCCCAGCTAGAACTTTTATATGACAAATTATCACCCAAATTAACCTGTCATGGCCGTATTGTGAAACTTAGAACACTGCCACCAGTATGTTGTAGTTTAGCACAAACGAGAATATCAACGAATGTGCTAGATATATCGTTGGCACGATGTATCCTTACAAACTTTTGTCATGAGGTCTTTTGGTACAGCTGCTTAACATTCCAACGAACAACTCTGGAAGATTTCCTGAACGCAAACAAGCATACTATATACCACCTCATGCATCATAATACCAATTGCTGTCAGTGTCCACTAGGTTTCGTATTTCCATGTGATCGACCTCAGATCAATCAATTAGAATGGAACAAGATGTTTTCGTCTCTTTTATTACCTTGTGCAAACGACAGAAAACGTTCATATAAGGGAACGACCAGTATATGTTCTGTATCGGCCACACCATGGATTTGTATTCATCATTTAGATTTAAACTTACAAGGAATAATTCTTCAGTACTGTTGTCCATTGCGGAAAAGTGTGACAGATCTAGCTGAAATACGAAACATAAAATACGGTCATGTTCAAGAAGCAAGAATGTCTGATGCAGATTACAAACAAGTTTTCTATGAAATAGAAAATAACCTGACGGCAATAGCATCCGTATGTGGAAATGTAGGTGAAGTAAAACAGAGTCTTCAAGATTTACAGAAAAGGACATTAGATAAAACGTTATGTCTCCAGTATCAGAATTCCCTTTTAGACCATCTTCGTTATGCGAATGAAATAAAAGATGTAAGTATGATACTTGTCATTATTACAATGATTAATTATCTTGATTTCCCAGTGAAATGAAAACCGATGATTTCATGTGAAATAAATCTAATAATTTCACTCCCCTGACGGCATACAAGAATGGGTGCTGTCCAGACTTTGTTGATGACTATCCATCATAACAGTTAAAATATGTAGAAAAAAAGATGTTGTTCCATTTCATTTTTTTACTTTATTTTTCATTAATAAGTCCATGGTCAATTTAATAAAAAGAATAACCAATTCAAAATATCGAAAAATGTTCAACTCGTGACCGAACAACACCTATAATTAAATCATGCACTCGCAATTGATATGTTGTTCGGTCACTCGTTTAATATTTTTCTGTATTTGAATTCTTGGATTAGTTATTCTATAAAGAATGTGAAAGGAGGAGAGTGTCTGATATACATGAACGAGACAGTAACACATCGAAACAATAACAATAAGAAATCTTGGACGAAATAAAAAAAAACGTATACAGTAGATTGTTACTATACATTAAATCAAGCTTGAAATCGTCAGTTTTTGAATCAAATATAAAAGAAAAAAAATACATAATATCAGCCATCAACACCAAATGCTCTAAATAGCAAAACACATTAATCATGTGTTGATTACACAATGTTTGTAAAAAGAGAAATGAATAAAGTTTAATTTTTGATGCAATAAAATACCGTGATTTCTCATTCGAGTAAAACATTTCTCCGATGAAAGAAATTTTTGATTCACTAGTATGACATAAAACACAAAAGCCTGTCACCAAGACGTTGTCAATGACTATGCTTTATAAAAAAAGTGAAAACCAGTGATAATTAACCCTAGCGACACACTAATTTTTTGTCATATTTTTCGGAATGTTATTTATTTTATTTATCATACTAAAATTTTGTGAAAAACATACATTGTGACAGTTTTTTTTACATCTTTTACATTAATGTTTTATATGTTTGATATATAAAAAAAACACTTCTGCATTTTTATACTTTATATCTTACAGAATGTTGAAATTTGTTGTAAAGAGGTAAAGGCATCTGTAGGAAAACTTGGAAAAGATTTTTCAAAAAAAATGGCTAAACTGGCAAATGAACAAACAGTTGAAGCAGTTGCCAATGAAGTCAAAATTCGCATTCCCCGTGAACTTGACAAATATTACATGCAAAGTCGCAGACAGCAGAGAACTGTCCAGCATTATACGGTTAAATTAGCAAGACAATGTAAAGATAAATCACAAAAAGTAGAACAGCGAATTGATACCGTTGTAGAGTCAATTGGAGATTTTAAAATAAATATGGACACGCGTTTGGATACAGTTGAAAATACAGTAGGAATGATTTCGAAAAATGTTGAAGAACTTGCAAATAGCATACCAAAAATAGTAGAGAAATGCATAGATGAAAAGGGTATTTATATTTTATGAATGCACATTGTTGTTTAAACGGAAAGTTGAAATTATATCTCTTGCCAGCAGAAATGTTTAACATATTTCAAAAACTTACGAGACACATGCTAAATTTGGTTTCCTCGCTTGAGTTGAATCACATGTTACACTTTTGTATTAATCTGGGACTATTCATAAATAACTTTACCGTCAACATTTGGCGCATTATTGACGACCGAACAGCTGACACTTGAAGTTGTTTATATTTTTTTGCCCTGTTGCCTTCTGCTTAAAGTTGTCTGAATGGCATTCGTGACAAATCTATCTTATTTTGAATTAAATTATTTTATTTTGGATTTCGAATAAATTTTAGTAAACAACCAAGCTGACTTAGTAAGCTCCAGTAAAAATGATATCGTCTATTTAACTATTTTACTTTGTATACGTTAGCGGCAATAAGTGAAATTAGGCATTAAGCTTAAATCCTAGACAATAAGCTAACGCCTAGGCAGTAAGTCTATTGCCTAAATGATGTTACGCATTACTTTAAATCCTAGGATTTAATCTTAAAACCTGAAAAATGTGTGCAGACATTAATCCTTATACATTGTACCTAAAATATGAATGCAAGTAAATGAAAGACATTTATTCATTTAAATAAAAATAGCTTTGTTATATAATAACATTATAAGAACTGAGTTTTAAAATGTCAACTACCGGAAATGATCACTGATAAAATATGTTATTGATATTAAAACTCATCAAATAAAACTCGCATTTGCACCTGTCACTAAAACATTTGGATTTACAAGCACTATGGAAAAATCCTTGACCCCCCGGACATTGACTGAAGGGGCTGCCTCACGTACACTTAAATTTGTTTCACAATTGATTTCCTCTTCTAGAATTAATTTTTGCTTACAGAAGGCAGTTTGAGTATTTTCATTAAAATATCGATAAAAAAATATTTGTGAGAGTCGGAATAATTAGTTATTTGCAATTATTTTCATTGAAATACAAAACAAATCCGTATAGCAAAGGTGACGTTGTACTGTCTTTGTGGCATTGATCCACATCTGATTTTCCCCAGGTGCAGATCATGGATTTTTCAAAACGAGGGAGAGGGGCCTGACAAGTCAATGTTTTGAATGATACTTATAACGTCTTTGCATTTATCATTTTTGTAGCTCCATAGGGGAAGCCTGGGCCCATACCCCTCCTAAATTCCTCTCTGATTACATAAACATATTCACCTTTACTCTTTTTTTCTGTTTTGTATTCAATATACATGACATATTAAATGATGCAGTCAAACTATTGATAAAATATCTTACCTCAATGACTCGGCCGAGTAAATTTCTACTGTCGCCCTTCCCTGGATTAAACATAGGTATTGGAACGGCCACTGTTTGACAAACTTCTGGTGTCTCTAGTTCTGTTTTGCTCCTTGCTATTATAGTGTTTGTCTGCTTCAGTTGACTGTCCATAGCTCCAGAACGATGGCGAAATCTGTTGGTATCAATCGTAAAGTTGCGACTTAACACCTTCGAACCGTACCCGTCTTCACTACGAGTAGTTCCACATATAACATTAATGTGTTTGTCACATTTACTAGTCATATGAGCTCCCGAGGTATCCTTTTTTACATACATAGCACTTTAATTAAGACATCCTGAAAAACAGATTAAATAAAAAATCAGCTTAAAAACATGTAATTTTGTGTAATTAGAAATATTTATAAAGCCGTACTGAAATAAAACTTTTTTTTCAAATTTACGTACAATTTTGTGATAATGACGTTTGTGTTCATAAAGATCGTTCCACTTAAACTCAATATAAAAATATGAAGATGTGGTATGCTTGCCAATGAGACAACTCTCCGCCAGAGGCAGACTGATATATAAGTTTAGACCTATAGGTCACCATACGGCCTTCAACGAAAACCTTTTTCTCATATTAAGCTATAAAAGGCCCGAAATTGTAAACGTGAAACAACTCAAAACTAACGGTCAGATTTATGTCATGCTGAACGAAAGGATGCAGATATTTTGTTCTAAAGCTTCTGGTAAGATTCTCGTTTTTTATCCGTTATACATTACATGGAAGTACTGTAATGATTTAGTTAAGGCTCCCTCCAAGATTAAAGAGTCGTTTTGAATATATAATCTTTCGAAATTTTGGTTTCTGATGTTAATCCAATAGTTGCACATTTACCAACAAAGGCTTTATAGGGTGATTGTCCAATGCCTTTTTGTTTATCTGAATTCTTTTGAATATGGACGAACTTGATGCCAATTGACCACTGTTGATTAATTGTCCCTCGTCCATGCAGTAAGCATGTCATGGATATCTCCATTCGATTGCTCAATATTACCCTGTGATTGGGGATGTCTCGGCTTCCCATGAACGATAACTAGTTCTGGCCACATTAATTTTAACTCGGATATGACAAAAGCTGTGAATTCCCGACCATTGTCACTTTGCAGTATATGAGGCGTACCAAAAATTGTGAAAATATCACTAAGATTAAAAGCCACCTCTAAGGCACATTTTGACGTAAGAGCTTTAATGTTACAAAATTTTGTAAGGTGATTTTAGAAAACCATAAGAAATCTATAGTAATCCATCAATTCAACTTGTCCTCTTCTGTTAAAGTCTTTAGATAAAATGGGCTTGACTACTACTCCCTTCCCTATATGTTTTTTTTTTTTCATATTACAATTTTCAAAAAGTGAATGAAATAGTTCAATAGAATTCCGGGAAATATTAGCATATTCATATTTAATCATGCGGTCTCTGCTGCCATGACCTGTTTCTTTATGTCCAAAATACTATAGAGTTCCTCTAGAAAGACATAAAATTCTGCAATTTCCCTCATCATTCTCGTTGACTTTGTTATCAACCTCTTAAAACCTCCAATGGTAAAAATATCATACCTTTTTAAATTGTAGCAATCTTTAGTTGCCTTCTTTTCTGATGATTCTAAAAGTTAAATCTTTGCCAAAAGATCATGGTACATTTCTCTATGGTATATGTTTCTTGTTTTTCCCCAGATTCGAATTTATACCGCAAAGATTCAAGAAATTTGTCCTTAATAGACATGCTGTCACTTAATGCTAATAATCCAGATAATGAAGTTAAAAAGACAAGATGGCCTTGGGGTTTTTAACAAAAATTTTAACAAAGAAAATTTACTTATCCAATTAAAACACTGGAAACATGGTGTGAGCAAAAAAATCATATCTTATTAATGTTGTCTACTTTTGACCAGATCAGACCAGCTCGACTAGTGAAGTGTAAAAAAAAACAATTATTATCATAATTAATATATAGGACCTCACCCTCCCTGTTTTTCGTTGGATACAATCACTTTTTTTTAAATCTTTTTTTACTTTTTGTGATACCACAAAAAAGTATGAGTTAATTCATTTTTGAATATGAAAATATCTAAAATTTGAAGATCTGTTAAATGAATGTATATTAATATTTGGAATATAATTAAGAAACTACTTTATATCAAGAATAAATTACCGAATTATGTTCGGCAATAGATTGAATAATCATCATCAGCCTAGGCGTTAGTTTATTACCTAGGAATTAAGCGTAATGTCTAATTTCACGTATTGCCGTTAACATTTATAAACTTAAGTTCCTCCGATTTAATAAAAATGGATCAATAATTAGGAGCATAAGATTAAAATTTTACTGTATTTCAGCATAGAGGCTATACTTTCACATAAGTTTCATGAAAACTTTGTACCCAACGTTGGCTTAGGAATAGAAATATGGTCACATTTATTCGCCTACATATCTGCAGTAAAACCCTAGGAAAAATGGAACGTCTGTTTCGCTGTGCGTTATGTACAATTACGAAGCCACGTCCAGTCAGAATGCTTACGTGATATCCAATATCTTGTGAAGAGGGAGTATCTTTAAAAAAACTCTTTATTGGTTCGTATTTGGCTTGGCCTGTTGCAAGGCGACAAAACTTATGTTCCAATCTAATATATTCTCATTGTGCTTTGGTAGTCAAAATTACCCGCCCTTCATCCTGGTCAACCAATATTACAGGACCTACATTTTGTATATTTCCTTGATTTGTTTTTGTTTTGAACATGCCAGAGATATTTGACACTTGATGTTTAGCCTAATATTCGAAAAAAAACTGAGAAAAATCAGTTGTGATTGGCTTGACTCATCATATCAACACAAAACACAAAAAAACTAAAAAAGACTAAACACACAAATTACTGATCTTTGAATTCTCGCTGTTAATAAACGTTTATCAAAGCCAATTATAACTAATACATAACATGCTTAAATCAGGTTTCCCAGACTAAAATATCAATCAGTACACACACAATGGCATTAACAGTCTTTGAAAAAGCATGACATCGTGCAATGCTTAAAACAATAGAGTAATAACATATTTATATTTATCATGTTTATATAGTTTTGTCTTAATTTATCAAAACCAATTTTTTGTATCTTTTTACTTTTTGTATTAATAGGTGAGTAAAGGTTAATGATTATTAATTTTGTGGTAACGAAATCTTTCACCTAATAATTCACCAGTAATACATTAACCAACTACGTTCATTTAAATCTAGAACGTGACTACAAAAAAACTTCAAAATAGATAAATTGGGATATATGAACAGCGTACGATGTGACAAAAGGAACATCATAGCAAAAAAGTTGTAACCGGGGGAAAAAATTGTCGATTTTGTCATAAATTTTTGTGAAGAGTTTTCGTTGTAAAACAAAATGAACTTAATCAAGGAAAGGATAGTTATAGCTGTTTATATTTGCTTTATATTTAAAATAAAAGTCGGTTACCTAAGGTCATTGTCGAAGTATCATATTTAGAGAAATTTTTATCATCTAATAAAAAAATATCATGAAGGTAACTGTTAGTTATAGTAAGATGTATCACTTACATGGAATTTAATGAGTTTGACCATACACTGTGGATCAATGCATTTATGATACACGTCTACTATTAAAGGGCACGATTGTGGAGCAGTGTAGTTTATATAGTTGAAATGTCATAACTGACACTCGATTAAAAAGGACCACAAAACACGCCCAATTCATTAAAATCATTCCAAAAATATTAATATTCCATTCTGTCATATACTTTATTATGAAATAAATGATAAGGTCTTTGATAATTCAAATGAAACTAGTTAGAACACCAGAAGATAAGTTGTACAACACATAAACATGATACAGGTTACATTAAGGAAAAATAAATGTATCATGGAATGTAACTAGTTTGGATATACACTGCGAGTTAAACACTATCATACACGTGCATTAGATTCCCAGATGAAACGATATGTGATGTTTTTCTATAGTAAAAACATATGCTGTCCAGAGGAGGTCATAATCTGAGATTTGGTAATGACATAATTCTTCATTATTTGACTCTCTCTGAAGCGTACGAATCAGAATTTAAAAGAATTAATAACTTTATTCTTACAACTTTCCGTTTGATATTGACGTCATCGCACCACCACATTTTCGGTTGCTTCGTCACCTCTTACGAAAACAAGTCGCTTTATCAGTACCTGAAGCTTGTTTTCTTTTTCTAGAAATGGCCGTACCAGATACTGTTTCAATAATTTCGACATTACTTTCAAAATGTGATATTGGATTATTCACAATAAGAGACTTTTTATCAGATTCCTTCCATGTTCAATCCTTTTACAATAGTATGACAATGGGTTTTTATAACCTGACGTCACTCTATACCATTTTGTTTCTATGGAGGACATGTTTTTCTCCTCGTTAAACGCAGTTGAATTCCCCCGTTATAACATTGCAATACTCCTTGGACGATTATGTACAATTAAATGTTTTACAATCCAATGTTATGTAGGTGACTCTCCGTTTCAAGAATGCACAAAGCATGAACGCAACACTTCCTTCGACTGAGTAAAAAGTTTTAACCCATGTTAGATGCCTTATTTTGTATTAAAAACACATTAATTTATACCTAGGACTGCTTTTGTTGAGGGATTAATTCAGTATACTTTTCTCATTTAGGTCTTTCCAAGAGATCAAAGCTCATTGGTATGTACTTTATTCTTGATTTATCATCTGTTTATAATTAACGACTACAAGAGTCGAAGTTTTATTATCAGCTTTAGTGTAGCAGGACAACAGTAACATATTTATTGTTCTACAGTTAATTTAAATTTTACGGTAAACATAAGTAAATCTGCACCATTAGTTTATGTATGAACACTCAGGCATTTCAGGAGCCTTAGCTATTACTTTATTGTATTTTCCCGTTATTTCCTAAGTGTTTTTTTAAACATAAAATGTAGTAAACGTCATAATATACAAGTAGGCGTTTTTGTTTTGCAGTCAAATTAATCCGGTAGGATCATTTTCTTCGTCAAATGAAGTACATACGAATGCATGTTTGAGGTTTGCATCTAGGAGTATAGTAGTTTAAATTCAAAACGAAAACAGGCATTACAAAGTCTGACATAAGTAATCATTATAGTATGTCGTTGTTTGTGCCATATCTGTTTGTTTCTGAAAGGAAATATTACCTATCAAAACAATCGAACATATCATATACTTATTATCATAATTGACATGTTGACGTATCGTACGAACATGGCCACCAACTAGATGTATCTAGACAAAAAGAATCAATCGTTATAATAGAGTTGTAATGATGCAAATGTGTGTGCATATCAGTGTGTGTACCTGTATGTTTGTGTTTATTTCAACAGTTGCATCAGTGACAAGAAGATTGTAAATACTTATGTTTAAAATGAAGATGGGGCTTGTTTCAAAACCTGATTCCATAAAAGAATTCAAAATATCTTTATCGTTATGTTTTCTGTAATACTCGGGAGAAAGAAACAGATAACCTTAATATATTTTTTTTTAAATATTACACATTATTATGTAAATTTGATCTTAAGGTATGTGATTTATAATTTTCCAAGTTGTTCATTATATCCATTTAACTCTAGAATTTTTTGGATGAGTTTTGGGTTTCAGGAATGTAAAGTGTTTTACAGTAAAATGGTATGCTTGACCTAAATATACTATTAACAGACCCTTACATCTCATTTAATTAAAAAAAATGACTAATGCAGATTTTAACATCTTCCTTTTAATATGTAATACTTTAAAATACTGATCTTTCAAAGGTTTAACCATGCTAGAAATAGAACATCACAAAAAGGAAAATACATTCGTAACGACATCTGTGGTCCCATCTTGTGTACAGTTACTGAGAGAGAACAATGTTTTAGTATTGACAGGACGAGCTGGATCAGGAAAGAGCAGAAACAGTTTAGAAATTCTACACCAGTGTAAAACGCAAGGTTATCAGATCATTAAATTAACAGACCTGAAAGATTTTGAAGACATTTTTTTACCAAAAGTTAAGACCGTCATCCTGTGTGAAGACATATTTGGTAGGACCAATAATGTATTTACTCAAAATTCAGATGTTGAAATACTTAATAGGGTAAATGCTTGTGTTAACATTGGAAACACAAAAATAGTATTTACAGTTAGAGATATTGTTAAACGGTCATGTAACTGGGTCTTTTCCTCCAATAGACTTTTTTATAAATTTGTCGAAGTAGACATTTGCTCAAAGGAATTCGAATTAAAGGAAGAGGAAAAGAAGGCATTATTTGTCGGGTATTGTCAGGTTAATAAGTTTAAGATAGTGGGACTGAATGAAATAGAAAATTTTAAAGACGAGGTAATTTTAGACGACAAAGTTACAGTCAAACTAAATCTAATTACTTTAAATCAGATTATAAAAACTGAGCCAATACTAGGTTTTCCACAGACATGTTGCCTTTTCACAGGAAATAGAAAATTTACTAGATTAGGGGAAGCGTTCTTCAAACACCCATCTAGTTGTCTGACAGAAGAGATCGAGAATTTACGGAAATCTGGCAAAGAGAAATTTTCTGACAAAATAAAATACTCTCTGCTTGTATATGTTCTCCTAAATGGAGATTTGTTGGATACAAATCAAATAAACTTCAACCAAATGAGCGAAATTATAACCTCTTGCTACCATAATTGTGCAAATAATATTTTAGAACATTATCTGTACGATGCAATTGATGAAATGATTGGTCAATATCTAATAAAAGGATATGACACCAATTCCTACAAATTTCAACATCAGACAGTACTCGAGAGTGTATTTATTTCATACAGTAGAATAAATCCTGTGCTAATTTTATCTAAATTAGCGTTTCATTTTATCAGAGAAATGGTGCGCCTTGAGGGCTTTCAAGAAAAAGAAGGAGAAGTAGTCTTGAATATTCCTGCCAGGTATTACCCATATCTTTGTGAACGCATAATCGAAATTCTCCAAACTGAATATCGTCTGAGATCTCAAAATCTAATTCAGCTTTTATGCGATTCAGAAATTATGAGACAAAATGATATAACTTTTGTTAAAAATTTGATTGAAGTAGCTCATAGATTATTACCCCTGAAGGACATGACAACCATGATTGCACTTCCAGATGATCATGAATCAGTAAATTTTTATCTCCCCGCCGCTTTACTTGAACATGTTATCACACAAAAGCATCTCTTTGAATCATTAGTTCCATTGTTAGAACATACTCGTTATATTTTTCAACGAGAAAGCAAAATCGATATTGTTCAGAGTTGAAAAGCGTCTGTTTTGTCAGCATTTTTGTCTGCTGTTGTCCAAGAAAATACGAATGAAATAGTTATTTTGATTTTGCATATAATAAACGATTTCAAACTAACGAATGATTACGACTGCTACTTCACAAAAGTCATACTTTTAACACCACCAAGAAACGATGAAATGATGATGTTACTGCTCCGAAGTATTGATATGAAATTCGTTGATCTTCAAAAGATTTTTTTTGAAATTTGCTTGAGAAACTGGACAAACGTTTTACCACTACTAAAGAAAGATCAGAGCACTTCTGGCATTGACTTAACAGGTGCAATCGGAGACTTATGTCGTTCTGGTAGATATGAAGTTGTTAAATGGTTAATAGACATAATAAAACTTTCAAACAAGTTAGCTAACGCAAATGTCAATGCGAAAAACCAGGAGATTATTCAGTGGCTTTGTGAAAATGTCGATATAGGAAAGTTTAATATGCGAACGGCAATTAGTGAAATTTGTGAAACAGGGAACATAGACATCGTTCAATGGTTGATACAAAAATACAATTCTACCTCCTTTTTCGATGTAAAAACTGCTTTGAATGCATCATGTCGTGGAGGAAACATTAATGTAGCAAGATGGTTAATAAAAAACACAGATTCGTCGTTTTTTGACTTCAACATTGCGATTTTAGAAGCTTGCAACAGTAATAAACATGATGTAATTTCCCTAATAGTAGACAGTATCGAACCTTTCTCATTCGATATGAACATTTTAGTAATAATGTGTCAACAAGGCCGGGATAATGTTGTTGGCCAACTATTGCGTATTGTTAGTGTTGTTGTACTGCCTGAAATCATAGACTGTGCAAGGAAAGCATTGAAAAATAGAAATTTGGAGATAATTCAATGGTTAATAGAAAATCTGCAATCCTCTTTCTTCACATACTCGAATAATTACTTTAATTTAAAATCGGCGTTGAATAATGCGTGTAAAGGAAAAGGGAAAATAAAGGTAGTAGAGTATTTGCTACAAAATGTTGTGCACAAACAATTAGATATGCAAACAGCAACTGCCATTGCGATAGATGGAAACAATCTCGCCATTGTTAAGTTGTTAATTACCAATGATTCTCATCGATCGATACATGTCAATGTTTTGAAGGATCTGATTTGATTAAACTGCTTTTGCAAAGTGTTCGTAATTCTGCCTTTGATATCACAACAATAAATTATATATTGCAAAAGGCAAGTGCATTCAATATGCCAGATATTACAAAGCTTGTGTTAGATAAATACGATCATAATTTATTAGATATGAGAGGGATTTTTACCATATCTTGTTATTATGGAAGACTCGAGATACTTGACATGTTGATTACCTCCGTTGATCATAAATTGTTTGACATGAATAAAGCCATGCATGCAGCATTGAAGCCTTTCTTTGGTAACGATTATCAAAAGATAGTCCTCGAAGTTGTTAAGGTCTTATTAGAAAATATTGATCAAACTTTTTTCGACATAGGGACCATTAAAAAAATTCTCCACCGTGCTTGTAACAATGCAGAATTAGAAATAGTCAAAATTTTTGTAAAATATTTTGATAATAAGTTGCTTGACATGAAAACAGCAATGAATAATGCGTGTTTCAATGACAATTTTGAAAAAGTAAGGTTGATAGCAGAGAACGTTGACAATTCATTGCTTCACACCAAAACATCATTGAGTCTCTGCAAGTTGGAAATAATGAAATTCTTGGCAGATACTGTTGATAACAATTTCCTCGGTATTGACACAGTAATGAATAAAGCGTGCTCAGAAGGTAACTTTAATGTTATCCAATGGATAGCAGAAAATATTGACAACACATTGTTTGACGTTAAAATAGCCTTAGATTATGCTATTGGTGATGATGAAAAAAATGATGATTATCGCAATTTTAATATGATCAACTTTTTATTGAAGCGATTAGATTATGAAGACATTTCATCAAATAAAACCTATTTGGAAAGATTATTGACCATTTCATGCTTCCAACGTAATAGGGACAAGCTGCAATTATTAACAGATAAAGTAGACAGTTCTTTGCTAGATGTAGACACAGTAGTATTGGAAGCAATTGTAGCACAGAAAAGGGACGTTGTCAAATGGATAATAGAAAATGCTGACATTACGTTGTTTGAGTTTCGAAAAATATTATATTATTTTATTGATAATGATTGGGATTATGATTTAGAGTACTATGAACTAGATGAAGATGGTGATGTTGATTTTGAAATCATCACACTTCTTTTGAAACGATTAGATGATGAAGACATTTTATCAAATATAGCCCATTTAAACAGATTAATGAGTATTTCATGCTTCGGACGTAATAGGGATATGGTGCTATTATTAACAGACAAGGTAGATAGTTCTTTGCTAGATGTAGGCACAGTAGTATTTGAAGCATTTTTATTTAAAAAATTTGATGTTGTCAAATGGATATTAGAAAATGTTGACAATACGTTGTTTGACGTTAAAACATCATTATATGATATAATTGGTGATGATTGTGATTATGATACTGATATGTATGAAGGTTGTTTGGACATCATCACACTTTTATTTCAACAGATAGATGATAATGATATTTTATCAGATATAACTAAATTAAAAAGATTAATGGAGATTTCATGCTTCCAACGTAATAGGGGCATGCTGCAATTATTAACAGACAAGGTAGATAGTTCTTTGCTAGATGTAGACCGAGTGATAAAAAAAGCGTGTTTATTACAAGATCTGGATGTTGTCAAATGGGTTGTAGAAAATGTTGACAATACGTTGTTTGACGTTAAGAAAACATTATATAACATGTGTAACGTTATTGATGATTATGAAGAGGATTTGTATGAAGGATATTATGATGAAGTTGATTTGGACATCGTGATATTTTTATTAAAGCAATTAAATGATAAAGACATTTTAACAAATATAATTTTTTGGAAAAGATTAATGATCAATTCATGCTTCCAACATCATAGGGACATGCTGCAATTATTGACAGATAAAGTAGATAGTTCCTTGCTAGATCTAGACACCGTAATACAAAAAGCGTGTTTATTACAAAGACTGGATGTTATCATATGGATAATGGAAAATGTTGAGGATACGTTATTCGACGCTAAAACAGCATTATATAATGTTATTAATGAAGATGAAGTTGTGCATAATCGTTATTTTTACGTGATTAGTATTTTCTTAAATCGGGTTGAAGTGAAAGAGATTTGGTCTAATACAAAATTCAAAGTGATTATGTGGCAGGCATGCCATCAGCTTAGATTAGATGTAGTGCAATTGTTAACTGAAAAAGTGAATAATACTTTACTGGGTATGGACACAGGAATGAACAAAGCGTGTTCACAGGGTAATGCTGATGTAGTTAAATGGTTAGTACAAAATATTGATGAAACATTGATAGATGTAAACACAGCAATGAGTAGCGTTTGTTTTAGATCAGACGGTCTAAATCTAGCAATGTGGTTACTAGACAATGTTAATGACAAAACAATTGACATGAAGACACCATTTATGAATGCTTGTACCAAAGGCAGTCTAGATATACTTGAATGGTTATTAGATAAGTGTGGTAGTCAAGCGTTAGACGCGAAGACAGCCTTGAATACATCTTGTCTAAATGGCAATTTTACCACTGTCAAATTCATTTTGGAAAATTTTGATGTTCAACACTTTGACTTGACCAATGCAATGCTAAAGGTGTGCCGAAGTCAGTCAATAAACAGTTTAGACATCGGCAATTGTCTTTGGAATAAATTCAATCATAATTTATTCGATATAGCAAAGGCGATGACCAACGCCTGTAGGTATGGCAATTTAAGGATAGCTAAATGGCTTATTGAGAGGAATGGTGTAGATTTATTTGACATGTCAGAAGCTCTCTGTAGTGCATGTCAGTGTGACAAGGGTAAAGTGGTAAAATGGATAATAAGTAATATACCTACAGAGAAAATTGATGTTCAAAAAGCAATCACAAACACATGCAGAAACAATTCAGACGATTTGTCTATAATCAAATATTTTGTTGAGAGTAGCAAGAATATTAATTTAGATTTAAATATTCTCGTTAAAGAGGCTTGCACATACAAAAGAACAGATGTAATTGAATGGATGCTTAAACATTGTGGCAAAGACTCCTTCAGGATTTTAGATCTACTTACTTCTCTGGTAAGTAATGATAACAATCCGGAAACTTCTATAATAGACAGAAATGATAAGTCTGAACATGATTCGAATAAGCAGAATCTTATATTGAAGATTTTAAAGAACAACACATATCTTTCTTGTGATTACAATTCTATTTTAAGCAAAGCATGTTCGGAAGGCTGGATCGACATATTCAAATGGATCATAACGAAAATTGATAATACCGAATTAAATATTACTGATGCAGTAAATAAAGCGTCCCAGAATGGAAGATTTGACCTTATTATTTGGTCTCTCTCAAATCTTAACCCTGATCAAATCGATGCCAATACAATCCTAGTTGAAGCAAGTGGGTTTGGATTTATTGAAGTTGTCCAGAGCATATCCAGTCGTCCATTAAAATGTAAACTAAACTTTGAAAATGCAATGAATGACGCCTGTGCATTTAACCGATGTGAAGTAGTGACATGGCTTTTAAAAACAAATACAAAGAATATGTTTGATTTATCTACGGTTATGAGTGCAGCTTGCAGAAATGGATGGATGGATACTTTGAATTGGATTCTTGAGAACGCAGACTATATGTTGCTAAACATTGATTGTGCTATAATCGAAGCATGTGCAGCTGGTAATATCAGCATCGTTCAGTTATTGTTCTCCACGTTTGACAAAGAACTGTTTGACCAACTAAAATTATCAACAAGAATATGTGAAAAAGGTAGCAATGAGAAAGTTGTTTTATTCCTACTGGAAAATCTAAGTGCAGATGGCTTTCAAATGGATAACATATTAAACAAAGCTAGTGGATTTGGTTGGTTAGAGGTC